AATATTTTGGCTATTTCAAGAGCCTTAAACTCCTAATTTTTATACACACACTTTGAGCTTGTGTTTCTAGTTTTATACTCTCATATTCATAAGTTTGAATTGTATTTTTGAGAGAGTATACTTTCCTTCTACACCGGCTAAGTTTTGTTCTTCATTTTTATATTCAAGCCGTTGTGTAGAACTCTTGTTCGTGTTTTTCAAACACACCTTCTTACGGTCGAGAATAGCCGTTAAATTCTCACGTTGTAACGGTCAAGGATAGCCGTATAAATCCTTGGGTAAAGGTTCAAGGATAGCCTTTGAAATCCTTGGGGGAACGGTACGAGATAGCCGTTGTAAAATCTCGGAGTGAATCCTATTGGCAAGGGTAGTTTGCCAAACTAGTGCGGTGCTTTGACGGAGTTCAAGAGACCGAGACTTAGTGGATTCGAAAATTCTTAAGGAGGAGCCTTAAGGTACTGGAGTAGGGAGTTCCCGAACCAGTATAAAATCGGTGTGTCTTTTACTTAACGCTTTTATTTCTGCGTTTTACTTATTGCTTCCGCATTTGCCAACACCGTTTTTATTTAACTCCGAAAAGATTTTAAAACGCCTTATTCACCCCCCCCTCTAAGGCATGGGCACAACGAATAAACCGACTAACACCGTGTGTAACCTATCCGATTAGACCATGGTCTAATCACTTCTCTTGTTGAGCGTTGGAGACCGGAGTTACACGTATTTCAGTTTCCTTTTGGTGAGATGGGTATCACCTTACAGGACGTGGAATGCTTACTAGGACTTCCGATTGATGGACTACCTGTCATGGGCTTTGATTTAAATATTGAGGAATGGAATGTCTTATTTAGAGATGTTTTGATGTGGAACACCAATGACATCCATTTTGGTCATTTTGAACAATTCAAGATTGCCCTTCTTTTTGAGAGACAAACCATTCAACCAAATAATGAATGGCCTGATCAGATGGTGGCTCAATTATATGTGTAGTTTATTATTTCCAGATTCTTTGGGTATGTACGCACCAATTGATTTCGTGAGATACTTACGAGATTTTAATGAAACATCTACTTTTAGTTGGGCTCTGCAGTTTTAGCGCGATTAAATTTTTCACTTTGTAAGGCTGCGTTGAAGACTAACCCGCGAATGCGTCCTGGGGGTTGTCTTCTTCTATTGCAATTATGGGCGTGGACTCATATTTTGAGCATAAGACCTATATTGAATAATGTTCCGAATAATCCACAAGGGCCTCCCCTTGAAGACGACCCATTTGGTGCACGGTATTTATTTACATTAATTTAGATTATCGAAGTTATAACTTTTTTCTCTAATTATATTCAAGTTGCTATACATTTATTATTATTCAGGTGGAGACAGACCAAGATATACAGTGCCTCTGCTAGGCAAAATGTACGCTACTTTAGGAATCAACTTGATTGCTTGCAGTTCCGAAACGTAAACTTAATATTCATAGAATACTTTAGAAAATAATTTGTAAAAAATAGATCATGCATTGACTAATTATAGTTCTGACAATATACAGGTTGTTTGGCAACCGTACGATATTGATAACTTGCCTGCTTATTGTCGTCGTAGTCCTCAACTATGGACTTTCCAAGGCTATGTTATTTATCGTTCGATTATTGAGCCTGTCGTGTCTATGCGATTCACACGACAGTTTGGGATGTTGCAAACCATTCCTGAGCTTACCCATCCGTATACGGAGGCATATCATAAACCCAAGGGATGTAAATCGACCTAGACGGTACAAGCATGTGTGGCACAATGGAGGGATAATCGCTTCACCCTTATCGTTTTCCATGAAATGGAGCCCATTGTAGGAGAGAATCCATTCCAAATTACCGATCGACGTATTATTGGAAACCCATATCATCGACCTCTAGAGGGATCTGAAAATACTTCTGCCAAACTTGCATTCTTGGTAATTTTGAAATTATAAATATTTACTTATAATAATATAAATACTTCACTAAATGATTTTTTTCGCAGGTAAATACAATAAAGAAAGCGGAGCGTCGACTCGATAAAGTTCCCGGAGCGGTTGCAGCAGAGGTTCGAGAAAACCTTAGGGGTGCTTTAGAAAACTTTGACCCCAACGAAAATGAGCATGTTGAAGACGAAGAAATGCATGGAGACGAGGATGAGTTTGATGCTGACGAGGTCGAGACTGGTCCATATTTCCCGCAAACTGACATAACCCAACCCGGACAAAGTACGCAAGAAGATCTTTTTGATGCGACACAATTTGACCCACGCAAATCCATTCGATCGTGGATTTAATTAAATTTATTGTAATCATGGATTTTTTTAATTTGAAATTTTCTATTTTTCGGACATGTAATGGATTCTACTTTCTTTCACTTAAAATAATTTTGTTCTTTTAAATTTTTAATTCTTGTGTCATGTAACTCTACTTATGTCATGTAAGTATATTTCGAAATTAAAAAAAGGAGGGCAAAAAAATTTATAATTTTGAAAATAAAAATTTTGGTAGACAAAAAAAATAGAGGAACATTTTCAAGAGAAAAAATCGAAAATTTTAAAGTAAACAATTTTTAAGAAACGTAAAACGTTAGAGATTTCGGCTTTTACAGTCAAAAACATATTTTTTGGAATTTTAAAAAACTATCAAGAATTCGGCTTTTACAAAGCCAAAATATTTGAATTTTGAAATTTCAAAAAAGGAGGCAAGAATTCTGCTTTTACAAAGCCAAAATATTTGAATTTTGAAATTTTAAAAAAGGAGGCAAGATTTTGGCTTTTACAAAGCCAATTTTTTTTACTTTTTTTTTTTACAAAAAACGGCTTTGTGAAAGCCAATTTTCAATTTTTTTTTTGTAAAAAACGGCTTTAGTAAAGCTAATTTTCTCTGTGGGGAAATGCCAGCACCAAAACTTCCCTCTGCGGGAACCCTTGCATACTTTCATACAATGATGCCCGATAATGGACCCTATACCTTGTTGATACATCCAAAGCATCCTCTCCGACATTGGCAGTGGGAGATGCGTGGGTCGGGGTTGCCAAATTGGAGAGTGGAGTGGAGAATTGAGGCCCCCGTGAATCGTGATGCCGACCTCAGCCGCAACATCAACGACAGCAGACGCCGAGATGGCTGCGGTCAAAAACTCTCGTGGCTGACTCTAGTCTCCTCTTGTCTTTACCATTGCCGCAAAACAAATCCCATTCTCAATGGGAACAATTTGGCTAATTTACAAACAAGGCCATGCCTCCATGCTTTTTTTCCTTTATTTTTGGAAGAATTGAGATTTTAAACCTTCCCTTTCCCTCCCTCTCTTCTTTCGTAGCACTTTTGCTGTAAGAAAAAGATGAACATGGCTATTTGTTCAGGTCCAAAATGATGGTGTAAATTATCGATTGGTATATCGTTTTTAACCGGTAAAAACAATAAACTAGTCTAAAAAACACACCAAAATATAAACACAGGGATTTTTACGTGGAAACCTAAATCGGGAGAAAACCACGGGCCTTTTCTGGCGGTACCTTGCCAACGGGGGATTTTTATTAATATCGAGGGTTGAACACGGTACATGAATTGGGCTCGAAAGCCATTAATGGAAGCTTGAAACTCCTTTGAAGAAATAAAATACATAAATACACTAGTGAGAGAGAGAAAGAATTGTGCAGGGAGAAGGGTTTGATTGGCCCCTCTAAACAATTAGGGCAACCCTCTCTTTTATAGGAAAGGGTGGGAGCATCTACGGAGAAATATTCTCTTATTCTTCTATTTTATTAAACAGGCTTGGTTTGACTGTTTTTCGTAAATAATTGTGAAATGTGGGCCGAGCCACGTATTATTTCCCATCACTTGCCTATAGCATACACGCACAAAGCCACATACATGCATAAAGTCAATAATACATCACATACATATGCATAATAAATAAACGTGAAAAGATTGAGGTCCCTAAAGAACTAACAATAACACCTTCTTTAGATCTCTCTCCGGCCCATCATATCTTATTCAAGAAGCTTCTTCAAGAACGGCTCTTTACTCTCTGGTCTTCATTCATATAATTTCATTAGAAAAGAATATGAAGTAAAGAAGAGAATTACGTATAGAAATGAGGCACGACACGCACGCCGTGTTTATAAATTACAATAAATTTAATTTGACCACAATCATCCACCATGCAATATTATATACAAGCATCACATGCATAATATCATACTTCCACCGTCCCACTATCTTTGTCCACTTACCTTTTGGCACACCATTCAATGCACTTCTTTAATTCATTTTATCTTGTAATTTATATATTAAAAAATTATAAAAAATATATATTAATAATCTATATGTTAAGACGAATCAAACAAGATCACACATGACTATTTTTAGGCTTATACATTGAGAGAATTTGATGAGTCAAAGTGCTTAGATGAACAGTTCTAAAAGTCAAAACTTGACAAAGACAATGAGACGGAAGTAGTACATATTGAGTGAACCACGCTTGCCCCAAAACCCTAGTCCATTCTACGGAATATCAATAAATAAATCAATTAAACTACCAATAAATTTAATTAAAATATTACTCATTCCATCCCAAAACGTTCTTCTCAGTTTGACTTTCCCCACTTTTAATTTTTGACTTTGACTTCAAATTTTGCCCTTCTTAAAAAAGATTTTTTGAAAGAATTAGAAGATACTTGGTGTAAATAATGAGGGTATTAATATCATTTGTCATCTTTTTTTCTAATGAGAAGATAATTTTAAGACGGGAAAAAAGAGGAAGTGGAAAGAATGTTTTGGGACAAAGGGAATATAAAACATTTACCAATTCCATAATATTAGAAACTAATTTTTTAATTTTCAAAAAATAAACTATTTTATATTTTACCATAATATATATAATTAATTCGAAAATGGGATTTTATTTCAAATTAAATACATAAATGTGTTCTAAATTAGAAAATACTTCCAAAAGAACTTTATTTATCTTGAAATTTAAAAAATTCCAAAGAACTAGAAAACTGAAATATTATTAGTAGAATATATTTCAAAAATGCAACAATTAATTTTTAAAGTCCAAAATAAGATCCTAAACCAAAAACTGAAGGTATGAACAGTGTCGTTTTAATCATCTCAAAACTACAAAATGATCTCAAGTCCACTGTAATTCAATTTAAGAAGTATCTGAACTACATCTAAACTACAACATGAAGTCAAAGCTTAGGTCCAAAAGACTGGTTCAAGATTGGAGCTCTCCCTCTCCCTCTCCCTCTCCTTGAAGTACGGGGCGCGGGGGCGGCGCAAGTACGTTAGGCCACCGAGGAAGCCCCACGTAAGCTTCTTTCAGAAGCTGCCAACTGACCTTGAACTCCGCCCTCGGGTTGCCTGTTGAAGGTCCATGAGAATCCTGGAACATCCAATATACTCCCGGCGGCACTTCGTCTTCTTCGGTGGCTAAGTACTCCCCGTACAATACCACGGTATGCATTCCTAGATGTGTACTTCCCTCCTTGTGTACATAGAACCCGATTTTTTTCTTTTTGTAGTTGTCCGTTATTTCAATTACCCCAACAACGCTCCCGAAACGGCCTAGAAGCTCCCGGACAGCATCCACACCCATCGAATCTTCATCGCGTTGTTTATCGATGAAGTCAATCCAAATGAGAGACTCGTGGATCCCATTCCACAAAGGGAATCCCCGGGGTGCGTGAGGGTGAGGGTGAGGGTTAGGATCGGTTACGGACTCCAACACTTGGTACACATTTCTAGGATTTGCAACGTTCCTCCGCAACTCCTCCCTCCACAAGTCAATGTCCACCAAACAACCCCTATCAAGTTGAATCGGAGGGTGGCGGTGCGGCCCGGCATGTAGAAGGCGAATCATATTCTAGATATGATTCGCCGTTGCGAAAAGAGTGCATTCATCTGCGAATATAAAAAACTAGTGCAACTGGCATACTTCACTGCAATACACAGAAAAACAAACAAAATAGAAGGAAACAAACCTTTGCCTTGTTTGAGAGCATCTTGGAGGATTTGTACTCCAAGTAATTTGGAAAAGTCAGTCACAACTGGCATACTTCACTGCCATCCACAGAAAAACACAAGTGAAGTCACTGTCAATAGTAAAAAACATAACAGTAAATTCAACTCAACTGATAAAAGAGACAGTCCTAACGGGAGGTATTTTTAGTGTTAGAAGTTAAGCAGAGCACTCAATAATAAAAATTGGATTCTCCACATGAATAAGAAGGGCATCATGTTTCCAGAAAGAAAGAATATCTGACCACTCTCCCATAGTTATCCAATCTACTAGTGAACATACAAGCAGAAGTTCATGTAAGTACTATGGTAGGTGGAGCAGTGACATAGAGATACATAACATCATCATACAAGTGTGGGACCATCAGGTTAAAGGATGCTTGATGTTTCAACTTGTGAGGAAAATGAATATATTGAAAAGGCTTCTGAAGCAACTTAATTATAATAAATACAGATGAATCCATGCCCAATTGGAAGACATAAAGTTGAAATAGGAAGAGACTCATAGTAAGCTTCAGATACATCCTAGAAATGAAGAATTGATTACCATAGAAGTTAGAACCTAACAAAATCAGAGACTTTAATACAAAAAATGTGGCCTCTATAAGAATCAAATATAGCAAGCAAAGAATGACAGGAATTTGGAAGGAGACAGAGACTCAAAACTCTTCTTTGCATGGATCAGGACAAGGAGAACTCTATCTTGGGTTAACACCCTATAGGATAGAAAGGGAGGTAAGAAATCCTTTTGGTGACCCTAGTTAGTTAATACGCGTATAATACACATATTATACTTACGTACATATACTATGCATATTATACTCACGTATCCGTATGATTTTTAAAAATACTTTAAAATACACGTATATTTGATACTATACCTATAATTACATATAGTACGTAAGAATTGAATATTTCATTATAAAAATTTTTGTACAACAACAAATATTAATTTGTTCCAAGAATGAGTTAAGTCGTAGATATATATTTGATGTTGTTGAAATGTATATTAGTTTTTCCCAGTTTGTTTTTACAACTAATTTTGTTATTCTTTCTCTGGCAATTGACTCAGAGTACAGAGTTGGCAAGACTTAATCATTTGGCTACAGACATCAATTCATCACTACAAGACAAGATAAAGCTTTAAAAAAAATGGGGTAGGATTGAGGAACCAGCCACTAAGTGAAGTCACTGTCATTGGATTGGTAAGAGACCAAACGGCTCTATTCACAGAAAACTGGATGGAATCATGGTTAACTCTCACTTCATGAATTGCTTTGTTGATAATGCAGTCAACACTCTTAGTAGAGCCTCAAGTGACCACAAACCACTTAGGATGGACTACAGAAAGTCAGAGGCTCATGGACCTAAGTTATTCAGCTTCCTTAATTTCTGGACTCAACATGAACTCATGAAGATTACCACAATTTCCTGAACAAATGATGATCTGATATAGGTTGGGAACATGGCAATGGAATGAAAGGCCTTGCTTTAAAACATAAGCAAATTACTAACCCTCCCAAAAGTTGGAATTTCATCACATATGGGAACATATTAAAAAGTTTGGAGCTCTTCCAGAATACTTTCAGGTTAAAGGGAGAAAAGAAAACCGATACTGCAAGCAATAAAACAAGGTGGAAAAGTCAATCAGGATAAATCTGAGAATAGGGACATCTTCCTTAATCACTTCACAGATCTGCATGGGAAGGAGAATACAAAGAACATCATCCTATTCCTCTAGGCCACATCCCCACTAATTAATGTTGACCACAACAGTCTTATCACTGTAATGCCTGGTGATAAAGTGTTAGAGGCTATCTGGAAGCTAAATCCTAAGAAATATTGTGTACACGTAAAATCAACACATGATTAAACCCCACCTATAAAGAGGTCAACTGCTTCTTGAAAATAAGTATATGAACNAGAATAGGGACATCTTCCTTAATCACTTCACAGATCTGCATGGGAAGGAGAATACAAAGAACATCATCCTATTCCTCTAGGCCACATCCCCACTAATTAATGTTGACCACAACAGTCTTATCACTGTAATGCCTGGTGATAAAGTGTTAGAGGCTATCTGGAAGCTAAATCCTAAGAAATATTGTGTACACGTAAAATCAACACATGATTAAACCCCACCTATAAAGAGGTCAACTGCTTCTTGAAAATAAGTATATGAACAAAGTATTCTCCTTTCCTATTCTAAAATTGGAAAGTGTAGCTTTTAATTTTGAGTCTAGTGGACTAATACCATTGAACTATTGTGGGCAAATCTATATGGGTTTTGAACACATTGCACAGTCTAGGGCAAATAGAATCTGGGATGGCGAGGGGCAAAGTTTTCCCAAATTAAGAGAAGATAACAATCCATATAAGAACTTGAAATAGAAATTAAAAGAAGAATTTTGATCGTGTATGAACACTACATAATGTAAGCCCTAACAAAGCATAAAATAAAAAATTGGAGTTTATAAAAAAGAGAAGTGTGGAGTTTGTTTTAAAGAAGAGAGAACATATACACTATACTTGTCTACAAAGTATGTTTCTTTAAAAGAGGAAAAAATGCACGAGCTTAGAAAGTTTGAACGTATAAAAAACTTGAACACATGAAAAAATATACTGCACATAATCTTGAAAATCCCTACTCTTGTGGATTCATCTAGGTTGCTGTTGTTTGTATCTTAAAAAATTAAATGTATAATGAGTTTAACGTGTATGACCTTGATAGGAATATAACTTTCTATAGGCAAAAGACACAATCAGTCATTTAGGGGGGTAGTAATTGTAATTCTCCAAGGTAAATGATAAAGTCTGAAGTGATGTATTGTGCACCAAATCAATAATTTTTCAATGTTGTACAGTACGTCCGCGCTTCACAAGGTACTTGACCTTTAGGGTATATATGTATATTCAAAACAACTTACCTTAATCTAAGCAGAAAATAACACATTAATCATAAGGAATTCTTTTTTAAGAGATGGAAGTGTTGTGTTGCTCTATGTCTCTAATGTATACTACCTCCGTCCCGTGAAACATTTCCCCTTTCTTTTTTTATACGTCCCACAAAACACTTCTCGTTTTTATTAAAAAGTCACTTTTACCCTTACTTTTTCATACCCTAACTATCACATCATATCTTTTTACTAATAATCTATCCATCAAATCATACTTTTACCCATCACATCAAATGACATTTTTGGAAATTCAATACCAAAATACACTCCCTTAAATCCCTCCTAAAAAGTAAATGTCCCATGTTTCACGGGACGGAGGTAGTATATTACTGTATAGAATTCCTTTTTCAGTGTTTGTTCTCAACTCATTTAAATTATTTTTGTTTATTAATAACACACATACACACACACACAAACACAGATACACACACACAAACAGTGTAATAGAGATGACAACCTAGTTTGAGTATCATGTTCTGCATGGTTGTGTTTTGTTGGTAACTGCACTATTATATTCATGTTTTCACTCACCCGATCAGATTCATACGGGAACACATTACTTCTTCACCGTATTAGCTTATTCTTATCATTAGGTCCAAATTGAAAACTCAAAAACAAAAATAACCCAATAAAACACCACTAAAAGTAGAGACTATGGAGGCCGTGTCTGTAAACCTAACCCCTGCATCTGAAATTTTATTCAATAAACATGCTTATTACATTCAGAATTAGAAAGTATAACGATTCCTCTTAAAGTGCTAGGATGTTTTAGAACTCCATATAAAACTATTGACAAACAACTGAACTAAGCATAACGATTCCTCTTAAAAGGCCAGATTAAATTTAACTAGGAAACCACTATCATTGTTTATCAGCGGACCTTTGAATGGAATTAAGCAAATCATTTTGGTGCGCTGATTTTTTAACTTCAAAACTGATTTTGAATAACCTCATAAACTAAATTTATTGAAAGAATAGAAACTACCAGAGGACATTTTTTGAAGAGCTTCTGAAAGGTCACTACTGACACATTCATCATTGCATCTGGAATATAAACACTTATGCATCAAAATAACAATTATATTTAAATTAAATTCTACGAAAACTTAAAAAAAAATATAAGTTTGTTATTACGGAATAGGGTATTGAGTGATCAAAGAATCAAACAGAAAACACAACAACAGATTTAACGTGGTTCACCAATGTTGTGTTGGCTAGTCCACGGGGAAGAGGGGGAGCAATTTTATTTCTGATGGAGAGGCAAAACAGAGTATATCACGTAGGGTTTGTGGTAGCACCCATATAAATAGTGCTTGGCAAAACCCTAACATACTTAGGCCCAAAACTATAGAGTTAATAGATAATTAAACAGCCCAATTAGATTGGAGTTCGGACATCTCAAGATTTGGACCTCTCAGGATTCGGATTTCTTGACTTCTCCAGAATTCGGATTTCTCAGTAATTGGACTTCTCCGGATGTAGGACTTCTCCGTGTTCTGACTTTTCCGGATTCTGACTTCTCCGGGTACTGACTTTTCCGGATTCTGACTTCTCCGGGTTCTGACTTTTCCGGATTTGGAGCTGTGATGGGTCAGATTCAAGGCATTCTAACAAATCTCCACCTTGACTTGAATTCTCCATACAGATTCTTCAGACGCACTATGGTTGTGCCAGACCTCCCCCTCTTCCTCAGAGTTGCCCCGCAGGGCTACTAACAGCTTCTCATGTTAAGCAAGTCCAAACAATGTCGGAACTTGCTATATATGTGGGACCGGCTTGGTGAACATATCAGCAGGGTTATCAGCAGTGCCCACTTTCTCCACCTTGATTTTCTTCTCATTCCTCAGAAAATGATATCTCACATCAATATGTTTGGTCCTCTCATGATGGACCTGATCCTTGGCTAAACAAATAGCGCTCAGATTATCACAGAACACAACAGCTTGCTCTTGATGCAGACCAAGATCACCAACTAGCCCTTTCAACCAGATTCCCTCTTTAGCAGCTTCTGTCAACGCCATATATTCTGCTTCAGTGGTAGAGAGAGTAACTGCAGTCTGCAAAGTTGCTTTCCAACTAACAACAGAACCACCCAGAGTGAAAACGTAACCAGTCATAGATCTTCTACTGTCAACATCTCCAGCATAATCAGAATCAGAATAGCCAGTCATAGAACAGTGAGTACCACCTCCATATATGAGACCAACATCAGACGTACCTCTCAGGTAGCGGAAAATCCTCTTCACATCCTGCTAGTGCTCCTTTCCAGGTTGTCCCATGAACCTGCTAACAACACTAACAGCATGTGCTATGTCTGGTCTAGTGCAGACCATAGCATACATCAGGCTTCCTACTGCATTGGAGTATGGAACTCGAGACATATACTCCAACTCTGCTTCAGATTTTGGTGCATAATCAGATGATAGATGGATGTTTGTGGCACTTGGAGTATCAATAGGCTTAGCTGTAGACATGCCAAACCTTGACAAAATCTTCTCAATATAGCTTTTCTGTGATAAGAAAAGCTTCTTCTGATCTCTATCCCTGTATATCTCCATGCCCAGAATTTTCTTTGCAGCGCCCAGATCCTTCATATCAAACTCAACATTTAGATGGCCCTTCAGCTTCTGAATCTCTAACTGTGACTTAGCAGCTATGAGCATATCATCCACATACAGAACAAGATAGATCATGGAGCTATCATCAGCTTTGTTGTGATACACACAACAATCATATGGACTCCTGCTGAATCCTAGCTGGATCATGTAAGTATCAAACCTCTTATACCGCTGCCTTGGAGACTGCTTTAGTCCATATAAAGACTTCTTCAGCTTGCAAACATAATTCTCCTTGTATGGAACCACGAATCCCTCTGGCTGAGTCATGTAGATATCATCCTCAAGCAATCCATGTAGAAAAGCTGTCTTCACATCTAGTTGCTCAAGTTCCAGATCCTGATGTGCAACCATCGCAATAAACTGAAGAAGTTTACCCTCACTCACGTGATAATAAACTGTACAACCAAAAGTTCTCAATGTAGAGTAATCTGCAGGTGATTGAGACCATACCTCGAAAGGTGTTTTGCAGTCAATACCAGTGTGAGGTCCACGGTTAATCAGATAACACGCCGTGTTTACTGCTTCTGCCCAAAACTTCCTAGTCAAACCAGCATGAAAGAGCATGCATCTTGCTCTTTCCAGTAGTGTCTGATTCATGCGTTCTGCCACACCATTCTGTTGTGGTGTATCTCTAATGGTGCGGTGTCAAACAATCCCTTCGTTCTTACAGAACTCATTGAACTCAGACGAACAGAATTCTAGACCATTATCAATTCTTAATCGTTTGATCTTCTTCCCTGTCTGATTCTCTATCAAGCCCTTCCACTGTTTGAACCTCTTGAATGCTTCACTTTTATGCTTCATTATGATTACCCAAGTCATTCTCGAGTAGTCATCAATTATCGACATAAAGAACCTGTGACCTCCAATAGATTCAACACGTGCAGGACCCCAACAATCCATATGAAGGTAGTCAAGAGTCCCCTTTGTCCGATGTACTCCCTTCTTTGGAAACTTGCTGCGGTGAAGCTTCCCAAATACACAATGCTCGCAGAATTCAAGATTCTGCACCTTATGCCCAGAAAGAAGATCACGATCCGACAGAATTTTCATCCCTCGTTCTCCCATATGACCAAGCCTCATATGCCATAGCTTTGTCATATCCTTCGTTGGAACTTCTGATGATGCAATATCAGCAGAGCCTGTCACGATGGTACCTTTCAGAATATACAGAGTACCACGTTTCAGACCCGTCAGAACCACCTTTGAACCTTTCAGAATATGCATTACTCCACCTTCACCTCTGAAATTGAAACCCTTGCTATCAAGTGTACTCAGCGATATCAAGTTCTTCGTCATCTGTGGAACATGCCTGACATCGTTCAAAGTGCAGAATATTCCATCATGCGTCCTTATTCTGATCGAGCCGATTCCTACCACCTTGCAAACAGCAGTGTTGGCCATGGAAACGTTGCCACCATCTACCTGCTCGTAAGTGGTAAAATACTCTCTGTAAGGACAAAGATGGTATGATGCTCCTGAATCAAGAATCCACACATCATTCTGATGTGGCTGATCACCTGCAACCAAAACCAGATCTTCTTTAGACTTTGAATCATCAGCTTTTGCCATAGTTGCAGAACCGTGGGCATCCTCTTTCTTGTCCTTTTTCTTAATCTTCTTCTTAGGGCAATCAAACTTCCAATGCCCTGATTCTTTACAGTAGTTGCAGATGTCACCGGGTTTAGGACCTTTTGGACCTTTGGAGTTTGGCTTCTTCTTTCCAAAAACCTTCTGTCCCTTACCCATAACAGAAAGTCCCGATGCCTGATTTTCTATTTCTGAATTTGTTGCCTGTTGACGATCTTCTCTCATGTGGAGAGCAGATCGAACATCTTCCAGAGACAGAGTTTCTTTACCAGCAAGAAACGAATCAACAAAATTCTCATACGGTTCAGGCAAAGAAACTAGCAGAATTGAAGCAGCATCCTCATCATCTACTTTAACATCAAGGTTTCGAAGGTCACGCAAAATTTTACTTAACTTTTCCAGATGGTCCCGAAGGGGTGTACCTTCCTGCATGCGTAGTCGAAACAGACGTTGCTTCAAGAGCAACTTATTGGTCAGAGACTTCGTCATGTACAAGCTCTCCAACTTCATCCAGAGGGCAGCAGCGGTCTCCTGATCAGCGACTTCGATGATAACATCGTCCGACAGGCACAACATGATTGTCGAGTGAGCCTTTTCTTCTAGGGTTTTCCACTCGTCATCATCGTTTGCCTTATTCACCTTTTCAGTCAGCGGCGCCCACAATCCCTGCAGCTTCAGCAACGATCGCATCTTGATCTGCCATAAGCCAAAACTATTTCTCCCGTTGAATTTATCAATCTTCACGTTCAGAGCAGATGACATCTTCGATCGACTCAAGAAACCCTAACAGAGCGGAATTCAGAAAAAATCCCTAATCGGAAGAACCAGAGGCTCTGATACCAGTTTGTTATTACGGAATAGGGTATTGAGTGATCAAAGAATCAAACAGAAAACACAACAACAGATTTAACGTGGTTCACCAACGTTGTGTTGGCTAGTCCACAGGGAAGAGGGGGAGCAATTTTATTTCTGATGGAGAGGCAAAACAGAGTACATCACGTAGGGTTTGTGGTAGCACCCATATAAATAGTGCTTGGCAAAACCCTAACATACTTAGGCCCAAAACTACAGAGTTAACAGATAATTAAACAACCCAATTAGATTGGAGTTCGGACATCTCAAGATTTGGACCTCTCAGGATTCGGATTTCTTGACTTCTCCAGAATTCGGATTTCTCAGTAATTGGACTTCTCCGGATGTAGGACTTCTCCGTGGTCTGACTTCCGGATTCTGACTTCTCCGGGTTCTGACTTTTCCGGATTTGGAGCTGTGATGGGTCAGATTCAAGGCATTCTAACAAAGTGTGTGTTCGTAAACTGCAGCAGATCTCTTCAAAACCAAGGACGTAATGAGAGAAAATAATGTATTAATGAGTTGTAAAGATAAATGCTAAAACGAAATCTGTAAGCTCATGCTGAACTCTAAGAGTTGAAAGTGATGAAAATTAAGGCTCTTAAAATGATCAGATAGAGTGATTTACTCTTAATACATCCAAAACCTCAATGTTCAAAACAAGCTTACTCTTTGTAGCAACAAATTATCTGCTTGGGGCACTACATTACAAGACAGCCACAATCAAATGATACATGAGTGTCAAACAGAGCTGCATACTCTTCGCGAGTCTGCCGAATCAGTAGGCTTCATTCTTAGCTCGTGGCATTGCTTCGCCCTAGGGAAGCTCTGTGGAAACAATGCTCTAAATCCTTTTGGATCAAAGATGGTGGCCGCAACACCAAGAACTTTCACCAGGTCGCCTCTTCACGACCCAAAAAGAGCATCATCCACAAACCCAAAGACACCAATGGCAACTCGACTTCTTGGGGGCAAGGCCTTGAAAGCATCACCATAAACTATTTTGAAAACCTATTTTAGTCCAACAACACCACCCATCACACTCTACTCCAAACCCTCACCACTCCCAGAACTACTCCCATATCACTCAACCTTACACCATGGACGAAATAAAGCAAGCCATCTTCCACATGCGCCCTGATAAGTCCCTCCGTTTGGATGACCTTAATCCAGGCTTCTACCAACAGCACTGGTCTATCATTTGAGAGGAAATTACCCTTTTTGTTGCTCAAACCTTAACCAGGGAACTCTGCGAATCAAACTCCAGTCTACTGCCATGGTACTCATCCCTTATAAAAAGCACCCTGAATTCAGACATCTGATCTCCAGCACATTGCACTATAGCGGGTACTCTACAAAATCGCTTATTTAAATAAAAAATACTTACTTTTCAGACCTTAGATCCACTATTTTCCGACAAATAGAATTTGGCAAAGAATTTACCTCATCTTAATAAGGAGCATGCTACATATACCCCAATAACACAAATAGGGGTACATCCCCGTGGTGTACAAAATGAGGCATAAATTTTTTGGGTACAAATAATTTTATCCTCTCAAGAAATTTGTGTGAGGGTTTGAGTAAAATGCGGTTCATAGTCTTTTTTTCTTAAATGAGCAATGCTAGGGGTATACCTTTGGTGTACCAAGGTGTACCCCAAATATACACCACTCCCTTCTCCACCATTCATTTTTATTTGATTTTTATTTCTTTCTTTCTTTCTAAATTTCTTGCTAATTTACTTCCTCATCGCATCTCTTCTCCAATTCCCCAAATCTTCCCTTTTCATCTCCAACATCATTCTTATCCCAAATTTTTTTCATTTTGATTTTCTTCTTTTTCTTATTGTATTAATCTTCTTCAAATCTTCTTTGAATCATCCTTATTTTTCAGATCTTCCCCTTCTTCGTCTAATGTTTTTCTTTCAATCTTCTTTGTTTCAAGTTCTTCTTGTTTTTGCGAGATCTACGGGAGTGAGCTTCGTCTTCGACAGATTATGTGAGTTTCGCTCACAACGGTCTGAAGTTTTGGTGGTTTGCCGGCTGGAGCTGGACGTTCGCCGGCTGGTTTTAGATCTGCAGAGGAAGAAGAACGGCGGCGAGGTCTTGATCATTAACTTGGGATCGATGTCAGGGGAGGCTGGAGTCTGAGCCGCCGGCCAGTTCTAGGTCGCCGGTTTTGGATTGAAGGGGCTAAGCAAAATTATGTTGACCCAAAAGAAGAAAACTGGCTATAAGCAAAAAATGAAATTTGAAAAGGTCAAAATTTTTAAATAATATCTGTTTTTTATTGTTGTTTTTCATCTGTATTATCTTATTGAAATTACTGAATATATTCATTTTCCAGATCTAGTCTATGTTTTTCTAAGTTGGACGTCCAACTCTCGTAGGAGATGTGACCAAATTAGATTCTTCCTCACAAAACTCTTTCTTTGAAGAAGGTAAATGATTTATACAATTCATTATAATCCTTAATTTAATTTTTATATATCTTTATAATATCGTTATAATCATTATATTTTTTTGAAGTGATTGATTATTTTTCCAGATTTGGGGAATGCATAGTTAATTATAGCTATGATGAGTCACTGCCATATGTATTACTGGATCAACCCACTTGGGATCTTTATGATCTTTCATCACAGAGGTTTCACCTAAGGTGTGCTTTTTTCCCTTTGATTTTACATTTTTAATCAATAACTTTTTTGATTCTTTAATCTCTCCTCGATTGCTCAAATCATTCACTATTTTGTTTAATTTGCTTGAAAAAGCGATATGTGTAGGACTTGTTTGAAGTCTTGAATCTCTTAGCATCTATATGTTAAAAATAATCTTTCTTCTAAATAAATTTCATTAACTAAAAACATGCAAGTAGAAACAAGGCTTCATTCATACTTGTTTTTTTGGCTAATTTAGTTCATTTAGAAGGCTTGTCAAATCAAATACAGACATGATACATTCTTTCTTCCTTTAGAAACCTTATGTTTGAAGACTACTTGATTCAAGATCTTTTATCCATGATATACATAGGTACCTAAAGGATTATATTTAGGATATTTATATTACGTGATTCAGGTCCTGAACATACAGAGTTTTACTCAAAAAATGTTAATTATGTTTGAAGTGGCAAAACAATTGTTAAATAAGAGCAACTCCAATGCGCATTGTAAAACTGAGTAAAGTTTAGAAAATGAAGGGTTTAGCATTTATTGTGCATAATTTTGAGCTTTAACCGGTAGGGCATAAAATAGAAGGAAATGTATTTTCCATCTCTCGTCTTCCAAATATAAATGCTCTTGTAGATAGTGAAAATTGCGTTCTCTCGATCGCGACTATTTCTCCGCTTCACCAATCGCTAATTGCCGATGTCAATCTGCTTATTCTTCTTTGTTTTTCATCTCCTTGGAGCAGAATCATCGAGCGGCTGCTCATCATCTGTGCCCAGTAGAGCCAAAAACTTGTGCGCACAACGGTGTCCGGGTACATATTTTTCCTCGCAATTCCAACATAACCCCTTACGAGAACGTTCCGCCCGTTCGGCTGGTGTAAGGCGGATAATAGGCAAGGAGGAGGTTGATTTGGTGCTACTGCCCTCTAAGGAAGCCACTAACGGCTGAGATGAAACATCCCCAGTGCCCGACTGCCATACCCGTTTGGTTGGACCCATGACCGCCGTGCATGCCGCTAGTTCACGTGCTAATGCAAATGCCTCGGCCAATGTTCCCGGATTACGGAGATTAAGCTCACATTGAAGAGGTTGTTTGAGGCCGCCTTTATACATAGAAATGAGGGTAGATTCTGGAATTCCAGATACTTTATTAAGCAAGCCTTCAAACACCGTTTGATAGGCCATAACGGAAGTCTGTTGTTGCAACGAAGAAAGAAGACTTACATAATAAGCATAATGATCGGGATCAAAATGTTGTTTCACCGCTTGCAAGAATACCACCCATGTGCCGCCATAGGAATTGGTAAGGTAGTAACGAACCATTCGGACGCCAGGTGATCAATAAACATACCAACCAACTGAAGGCGTTCAGACTCTGCCGTCGAGAAATAATCCAAATATTGCTGAATGCGAAATATCCAGTCCACCAGATCCTCTCCGTTGAAATGTGGAAGGTCGATGCGCAAACGCGGCTGCCGGTCAGACGAGTCATTAAGACCCGTTGTGCGCGACGGTAGAGGCTGCCACCGGCTTTCATGGGACGGAGTTTTCTGGCCAGATACTCCTGCATCGTCCCGATGATTCGGTTCGCCAACGCATCCAAGCGTTTATTCGTGTTATTAAGCTCGAGGCCAAGGTTTTGAATGGCTTGCATAATCGTGGTTAACGACAAAAGAGTCTTAGAGTTCTTGCCTGCATCGGCACTCATGGCGATTGGTTGTGAGTGAGGTCAAAGATGGAAGCACCACTGTTACTCCACTGGTAATGAACAACAGAGGAGGGGAAGGGGTTTAACTGATGAGGGAAGAGGAAGAGAGGGAGAGGAAAAGGAAGGGAGTTGAGGATTAATTCATTTCTCATATTCAATACTAAATTATCTCCATATTTATAAAAGAAAACTCCAAACATGTGTCATATCCTCAAAATAAGAGTTTAAACTTAAACTTTTCTAAATAGGAGTAATTAATTACATTTTGGTTCAATTACTTCTAACCCCATTAAGTAAAACTGCCCCACAGCCTCCCCCCTTTCTCTCTCCTTCACAGCACAATCGCATCACCGTTCTTTCCCCCACCTCTTTACCCGCTTCACCAGCGTTTCTCCAGCCTTTACACCGCCCAGCCCCCTTCTCTCTTTTTCCCATTCCCTCGCATAGCCCTACGTCAACGCACCTCGTCTGCCACCCTAGATCTAAAGTCTGATCCACCATAAGCCAAGTTCTTTGTGAATCCATTGTGTCATTGGTCAGAATCCTTGGCCTCGAGCTTGAAGTTGTTCTTAGAGACAAATTTTATTATGCAAAATTTGAACTATGCGGCTGTTTGTTTTACTTTTAGTTTAGCCAATAGCTAACAATTTCCATTGACGTTGTGATAGGGAGTGTTTCTTTTCATTATGCTTTCTTTTTTTACATTATGTACTTTCTTGTCTGTTTTTATGTAGTGCCAGATATTGCATTATTCGTTGTCATAATTGGCATTGAAGCTTTTTTGACATTATACAGTGTCATGTTTATGTTTATGCAGTACGAAATTTCGTAGTATTAATTGTCTTCATTGGCATTGAAGTATTTATTATCATGATTGGCGTTGAAGCTTGAATTGGACGTAAATAGGAGCTAAATTATTAAAATGGAGTAAGACATCTCCTACACCCCATTCCCAAACTCTTTCTCGATCCTATGAATTGCTTCATTCGCTCTACCCTGTCCTACGCTACCCATTATAATACCACTCTGTTAGAATCGCCGCGACCGTTTTTGTCACTCAATCGCAGCGCCATCGCTGCCATCATGTACTCTCACCCATCTCAAACTCGTCAAAGATCTCTCTTCTGCCACCCACCCCCATCTTCTCGATTCCAACTGGCAACTGCCACCAAATCAAAATGCCATCACTACCGCTATCACCGACCACGCCGTCTCTCCTCCATCTCGCTCCCTCAAAGCCTGATTTCAAAAGTGAGTGAGTTCTCTTTTGATCTTTAATTAAATTTTATTTTCTTTGAATTTTGTCATCGTTAGTCATGCAAAGCATTGGAATTGGTTTGAGATTATGCCTTTGTGTGACATTGTGATCGGGTTCACATTGTGACATCACATATGAGCATTTCTGGCATTATATATGTGTATATGTGACATTATATATTGTCATGTGCGTCATTATGTGGTGCTATATTTGACATTATGTTTTTGAAATTTTTGCTCCATATAGCACTCACACACAAGAAACTTCCGTATATAGCACCAATAACTTTTTTCCCTCTAAATGGCACCTTTTATTATGTTAGTGGACCTATTTGTCCTCCACGCCTCCCCCCTCTCTTTTTTTTTCTTTCAATGTAAAAAACCTAATTACTCATAATTATTTTCAGAAAAAAAGGAACTAAAACCCAGCACCCATTAAGCGCACGTCTGTCATCATCTAAACCCTCGCCATTTCCGTTTCTGTTCTTTTTCCGTTTTCCACCCCCCTTTCTCACCGCCGTGCTCATCTCGGGTAGCAAGAACATGTTCTCTTCATTATTGCAAGCGCTCTCTCAGCCGTTGCCCCCCAGAAAAGGTATGTTCATGTTCTCTTGAAATTTGATGGTGTATGGTCTAATAATTTGGAATTTAACTCTGAGGGGTTTTATGAAATTGACGTCTGTTGTGGGGCTACATATGAGGATCTTATACAATTAATCCGATTGACAGTACCGTCATGTGCTGAAAATTCAGATTTTATATTGTCATACACGTCCAATTGCTCTCAATCCCGTACTTTTGTTCACGATGACTCTACCCTCGATTTCTACATTCGATTGAAACTGAATCATAGCAATGTCAGTGAGTTTCCCTTATTTGTTGAGTTATGGTCTAGCCATGATTCCCCATGTGATTCCGTATCCAATTTCAACGATACCTCTGAGGGCAACACATCTCCCCACAGCCATGCGAGCGCCCACGGTGGTGATGTCCGTGATATGCACGAAAGTAGTCCAAGTTGTAATCACTACGATCACCGTATCCTACCTTCTGGGCCATTTCTGTTGTTTGAGACATACAGTGAGGACACGCAGGTCGACAAAAATTTGTTGCTGTCCAATGAAAGTTCAGTGTCACACAGTACCCGCATGTCTGCTGAGGAAATATCTACGTTAAGGGATTTGAAGGTTATATCCCGGTTTGATCCAACGATGATCGCGGTACGTGCAATTTATGAGAGCAAGAAGGATCTTCTTTTCCATCTTAAGAGATTGGCAATAGCCAATTACTTTCAGTTCAGGACAAAAAGATCGAACAGAAGTTTCCTGCATCCCATGTTGTATGTGTCGATTACAAAAGATGTAGCTGGGCGGTCCGGGTTGTTCGTTTGGATAAAAAAGTGGACTTCTTTCAAGTTCGCAGGTTCGTCCTTTAAACCTTTCATTTCTTTTTGTTTTATGGTGGTCACATCTTTTTTTAATGACCAATAGTCATACATATAATGACTACATATTTATGTACAGTGGTCATTTTTAACTGCGTTAAAGTCCATGTAATACCAAATGAAATCTACTCTTTTTTTCGGAACCTTTTCTTTATATTTCCTTGTTACCATACTGTATTTAGATTTCTTCATATTCAATTCATTCTTTCTACACACTCATAATGTCCATTCATTTTTACATAATGACTATTTAGTTTAACTTACTCTCTTAATGCTTAAATATTGGGTGGCTTTATTGTCTTCCATACTGACCTAATGCCTAATTATCTTTTACTGCCTTTGTTTTGAATATATGCACCGCATAATTTCCTCATCTACTGGCCTTTTATTTTTACATACTGTCATAATATAATGACTATTAACGTAATGACCACTTATTTTAGCATATTGTCCAAATGATTAAATATTGTGTGTATACAATTTGTTCCATAATGTCCTAATGCTTGATTAAATATACTTACCTGGATTTGAATATATGTCGTGCATAATGCCTTTATATAATGGCTATCCATTTTCTCATACTGTCTTATTAATATAATGACTATTGGCGTAATGACTATTCATTTAAACATACTGTCCGGACGCTGACATAATGCGTGTCATTATTTTGTTTAATACTGACTTAATGCTTTTTTAACTCCCACTGACTTGGATTCGAATATAGCCCGAGCATAATGTCCTTATAAATGCTCTCAATGTGGACAAACTGTTTGTTTACTCCAATTTAAGGAATTTGCATATTAAATTCAAGTTTATTGTATTCATTTTGCACTGTGTTACCCAGGTATGACCACGAGCATCAATGCCCGTTAGATGCACGTCAAGAGAAAACAAGACAAGCTACTTATGATGTTGTCACAAATTTTGTGAAACATCAATTTCATGATTCAACAAAGAAGCCTTACCCGCCCAAATCAATTATGGCAGACATGCAAAGGGGGCATGGTATTTATATGACATATAAAAAAGCGTGGTATGCAAAAGAAAAGGCTCTTCAACTCTGTTTTGGATCTCCGGAGGAATCTTATGCATCATTGCCGGCTTTGTCTTTTATGTTGAGTGAGGCAAATCCGGGGTCGTTTATACAGCTCTCAACGACCCCAAGAAATCTTTTCAAACACTTCTTCATTTCACTGTTCACCTTTTTTTAATTTGTACGCGACTATTTTCAGTCGAAGACATTTTTTTATTCTCAATTTTATATAAAAATTTATCTTTTTAAGAATGACCTTATACCTGGACATTATACTCTGACTACTATTTCAATATCATCACCGATATACCTGTATCATCACGCATAATGACCATAAAACTTATCTGTCTATCTCTCTAATTCTTCTTCTGAGAATGTAATTATAATGTCTTCATAAACAGAAACAATGAACAATTTAAAGTCCTTAAGGCACACTAACTACTGTTCAAGCACAAAAACCTACGACGAATATTAAGCAATCGGTCATTATAACTGTCTGCATGACTACTCAAGACAAACTGTCTTGAGTAGCAAGCCAACATATTAACCAGGTCAAGGCCACCAGGGGTATCCACTTCCAAGCACTAAATGATTTATTTACAAAAAAAACTCAAATGGTAATCAAAATTTAAGCACCTTTCATTCATAACGACCTTATATACGAACATGTATAGCATTCTGAAGTCATTGCAGGATTCTGACTTCCGATCAACACAATACATAATTGAAACATGAACAGAAATGACTTCTGCTCGAATCCAAAATCGTTTTCAAGGGTATTCAGCATGCCGACTACATATATCTCACGACACCATGACCGTTTGATGCCCATATCCATGACCATTACTCCAAGTACAATACGTTGGTCATTCTTAATGCTAGAAATTTAGACATTATCATTTAAACTTTAAGTCGGTACATGAATAGATCACAGGTCATTACCAAAAAAACACCCCAATGACTACGTTAACAGACACATCTACTCATACCCAAAATTGAGACCAAGACGCAACAGAAACAAAAACCTAACCATTTATAAAGCATGACATCCAGCATTAATAAAACGGTAGAATAATCCCCAATAAAACAATACAAGTACCCCCGTCCAGTAACAAAAAAACAACACATAAGATTTCATTTCTTCACGCCCGCCAACGATGCATAATTCATGAGTTCCACCGTCATTTTCCTCCGGTAATCATTGATTTTAACAGCATCAATGCCCCCCACATCCTTTAAGTCCTTAATCCCTAGTAGTAGTTCCTCTGCACAAACTCTTACGTACACCTGTCACAAACACAAATTGTAACCAAAAAACAAATTAATCTCCAGCAAATGACTTGGTCAATCACTCATAATGACCATCAATCACTCAAGGACTGATCTTGCTAAATGACCAAGACATAGATTCAAAGAAATGATCATTATGCCTTTCCCTAACCCAAAAAAAAACCAGACTCAGTGAATGTCATTATGATACCATTTCTTATATACTATAACTCAGTCCATTCCAATAAAAAGTCTGTCATAACACACAAAAAAGGACTATGTCTCAGTCCTTCACTGACCCACCAAAATGACCAAGACATATATTTCAAACTAATAAAATGCGTATACTCCAGTTGTATAAACCAACATACAACAGGGTAAGCAGCCATGCCATTCAAAAAAAACTCAAACAAAAGTAAGAAAATAAAACACCTTCATAGAACAAACACAGTTAACCAGGCCCTTTCAGTAAAGGCCAACTAAAATGACTAAATAGTGTAACACTTAAACTCTAACAAAATGACTCCAAACACATATCAATGCATTATGTCAAGTCAATAACATAACACAGTCAGAAGACACCAAATGTCTGGGTGTTCTTATCCTTGGAATTCATTCTGGAACAAAACTCATACTAATCCCACATGACTACCATTACATAACACAATCAATCAGTTCACATGACCTCAACAATGTCTACTCTATTCAAATTTATTCACCAACCAAACAAATTCTATCTGGCTAATAGAAAATGCTGCTCTAAAATCACTAGGCGTGAAACAAAACTGTCTTATACATTCATTTCCAATCAATAATGTCTGCCTTCATTATCAACACGTATATACCCCATCCATAACAATAAACATGAATGCCTGTATTCTCATTATATATCTGTTTAGAACTGGCATCAGTACAAACCAATATGTCTATTATTAGATAACACATTCTATTAATTCCAAAACCAATACATGGGACATTAACCAAACACCTTGCCTACACATGCTTATCGATAGTCCCAATTAACCCAACCCAAAACCCCAAAAAAAATCCTGTAAAACACCCAAAAACAACCTGAGGTCAATGACCCAACACTGCGTCAGGCATTATAATGACCATCCAATTCAAGTCAGTTAAGCCTATTCCATTAGGTCATTACACAAACACTTTTTGACATGAAATTGCAAAAAAAAAAATAAACACCTCAAAAATGACCTATAGTCTCACAATTTCAGCCCCACAACTAAGAAATGACTATCACACATTGCAGTCCACATCCTCAATGTTACAGCCAAAACTCAAATTAACCCCAATTTCAATTTTAAACAGCAACCAAACCAAAATTCCAATTAGACACACTTACACTTCCATTCCTCAGCCTCACCAGCATCATAGTGTTCAGATCCGGCGGCGGCTCTGTGACGAAGTCATTTTCCTCGTCATCCACAGCTCTCCCAGTGACTGAACTCCTTGCCATGCCTGACAAACTAGATTCAAGACGCAGCTTCTATATAGCACACGCTCTATTCAATTCGCCATACCGACCTTCGTATCACCGTAAAACTCCAATTAGCAAAGGATCTCCATGCAAATAGGGATTGGTTTGTTCCCTTCGCCGTTTGGATTCTCCGTATAGCCAGCGCCGTAAAACCCGCCCTTCCCTTTTTTGTTTTTTATGCTTTTCATTAAAGCTCACGGCATTATTGAAGAATTATGAATTTCCTTAAACAATAATGTGGGAGTACATGTGTTTATATACACAAACTATTCCTAATCCTAATCATGGTAGGATTCTACAATAGGAAACAATCTCTATATAATAAATACAGAATATATAATTAACATAAATATAGAATATATTTAACATGCTCCCAGCTACGTCGGCGTCGATGGTGGGCGAATCCTGAGGCTTGTCCGGAAATCCTGAAATAATATGGACGGGAGGCCCTTGGTGAATATATCTGCATACTGTGAGGAAGATGGCACGTGAAGGACTCGAATCTGGCCAAGGGCCACCTTGTCACGAACAAAGTGAATGTCTACCTCAATGTGTTTGGTGCGCTGATGCTGAACTTGATTGGTGGAGAGATAAACAGCGCTAACGTTATCGCAGAAGATAAGTGTGGCACGGCGTAGGGGTTGCTGTACCTCTAATAGGAGATTTCGGATCCAGCTGGTCTCGGCAACGGCATTAGCGACGGCTCGGTATTCAGCTTCAGCACTAGATCGGAAATGGTGGCTTGACGCTGGGAGGACCAAGAGATGAGGTTGTCCCCAAGGAAGACACAGTAGCCTGATGTGGAGCGTCTGGTGTCGGGACACCCTGCCCAATCGGCATCGGAGTAGGCCTGAAGAGAATCTGTGCTAGACGGAGAAAGAGTCATACCATAGGTGGAGGTGCCGCGGAGATAGCGTAGTACCCGCTTCATAGCTGTGACGTGGACATCTCGAGGGGCGTGAAGGTGGAGACAGAGTTGCTGAACAGAGTAGGAGATGTCTGGCCTAGTAAATGTGAGATACTGGAGGGCTCCAACGATGGAGCGATAAAGGGCAGGGTCGGCTACCAAGGAACCCGATGTGCCAGATAATTTAGCCTTCGTGTCGACGGGAGTGGAGATGGGACGACACGTGATCATACCGGCACGCTCAAGGATGTCGTGAGTAAACTGTGTCTGATGTAGAAAGAGACCATGAGTTGTCCGATGAACATTGATACCCAAGAAGAAATGAAGGTCACCCATGTCAGTCATAGGAAATTCCCCCTTAAGGCGCTCAGTCAAGCGCCGAAGAAGAGAGTCAGAGGAAGCTGTGAGGACAATATCATCAACATAGAGAAGTAGGTAGGCTGTATCTGTCCCATGAGAGTAGATAAAGAGAGAGGTGTCAGACTTACACCCGTGAAACCCCAGTGTGTAGATGAATCCAGCAAATCGTTGGTACCATGAGCGGGGTGCCTGTTTCAAACCGTAGAGAGCCTTTTTGAGCCTGCATACATAATTGGGCCTGTGAGGGTCCTGAAATCCAGATGGCTGAGAGGCATAGACAACCTCCTGCAGATGGCCATGAAGAAAGGCATTTTTAACGTCCAACAGATGTATCGGCCATCCTCGAGAGAGAGCAAGACTGAGAATGATACGTATGGTGGTTGGCTTGATCACAGGGCTAAATGTCTCATCATAGTCGACTCCGAATCTCTGGTTCAAGCCCCGAACAACCCATCGAGCTTTGTACCTGGTTAACTCACCTGTAGGGCCAAGTTTGTGCCTAAAAAGCCATTTTCCAATTATGATATTTTGGTGAGGGGAGGGGGGTACTAATTCCCATGTGTCATTCTTGATCAATGCATTAAATTCCTCACACATAGCATTGTGCCAATTGGGGTCTTTGAGAGCACTACGGTAGGTGAGCGGGAGAGGGGAGATGGGAACAGTGGTGTTGAGGTTAAGGATATGTTTGGGACAGGTTATGCCAGTTTTGGAACGCGTGACCATAGGGTGCTGATTTGTGGTGGGTGGATGTGGGCCGTGGGGTGT